ACCTGACAAGTGACTTTTTAATGCAGCACAAAAAAAGAATGATCTAATATAAGCAATCTTTTGCTGTACAGTATATAACAGTTAATGAAAACAGAATGAAAAATAAACAGCATGTAGTTTCAAATTTAACAGTAAAAGCTGGATGAAAACAAGATAAACACAGGCTTTAAAATATTCATGATGCTGAAAAGTCCTCTAAATATACACACTATTAAAATTCTGAATAATAATTTGATATTTTAGTTTGATTGAAGCACAGACCTAAAATTTTTTATGTTTCCAGGCTAAATTACACTTGTCTTTATATTATTCCACAAACACCTATTAATAGATTTTTCTTGCACAACATGTCTTCATTTTCCTTTTCTGCTTGAGCAATATCACTGGCCTATGAGAGACAGTGCATTTTATTATTTGAATTTAGTTTCACAGTCTCTCTGACCTAACAGTCTGCTTCTATCCTTTCTGGACTTTCCATTCCTGGAGTTCCATTATTTTTATGTCCTGTATAATATTTAAACCACCGAATATGTAGATGTCCCCTCTCTATTTTATAGATTATGAATCCAGTATTGCATTTGATCTTAGGCAAAAGACTAGAGTGTAATATAGTGGTAATTAACATAATTGAGATTTGTGGAAGTATTATAAAGCAAGATCAATTTTTGTCAATTCTAAAAGTATAAATACAGATATGTATTATTTTAACATGTATGGTATGTATGGTTAAGCATATTAGGTAAAATTTTCAAAAGTGCCTAAGTCCTATTGCCTTTTAATGAGATTTAGGCATCCGCGTCACTAGGTGCTTTTGAAAACTTTACTGTCTATATGCACAAACATGGGTGAAGTAGTAATTATGTAAAAGAGCTATATGATAAAATAATTTTGAGTTTGAAGCAAATTTAACTATCTTTGGATTCATATGTGCTAATTTCCCCCTTTTCCTTTTATTTCCTTGAAAATTAACAAAAAAAGAAAATGTGAGTGTTGTAATAGAATGTTTTTATTAGACCTCTAAGTGAAATGTGTCTGTCATTATGTCTGCCAGAGTTAGACAGGCTTTCCCGTTTATTTAGAATGTAGTAAGCAATGTTAACAAAAGAAATAGAACACCACCAGGTGGTGCTAGTGCAATACATTTAAAGAGCAACCCTGGTTTTAACATTTAAAATGCATCTTTTTTAGTAACCATAAATGAGACCTGTACACCACATAAGGCTTTTTGTACTAAGCAATAAGCAATAATAGTGGTGTAATTAATAAACATGAATTGAAGGATTATGTAGTGGGTAATTTGAGTTTAAGTGAGCTTCAGATGTGTATATTTTGTAACTTTAAAAAGTTGGATGGGGATATGGAGAAATATCTCTAGGATGGATTATGTGGCCAGTGGGAAGGCTTATTCTATAAACTTTAGCCATCTTTTTGTTGATGCAACCATTAGGAAGCAATATACAAAAATAAAAAAAAGTTATATTAAAAAATAAAACAAAAAACCCCAACAAACCCAAATATTATACAGTGCAGCTTTTCATAATAGGTAAAATAAAATAAAAAAATTGGCCCTTTTTCAAAAGTGATTTGAAAGTCCATCTTAGGTGGCATTTATGCTCTTCTGAAAATTTTAGCAATTACCCCTTTTTTCTTGAAAAATGTGGTAAAACACAACCTTCATCTGGTGAACATAAGAGTTAAAAAACAGTATGTATCAAATTCAGCAGAGAGGAAGCAAACATGATTCCCACTGAAGTCTCCAGGAATTATACCAGCTTTTGCCAGGTCTGAATTTGACACTAGATGCTCTGAGGAATGGTAAAGATACACACTTGCTATTGGACAGCTGAGCAATTAACTTAAACTGGTATAAAAAGCCAAAACAAAACTCTTTTGCTTGCTATAATAGTACTTTTGTGATCAAGATAAAGCATATTGGAGTGTATATGTCAGCCTCACTTGGGTGACCACTTTGCTGCAACTGAAACCAAATGAAATAAAACCAGAGAAGTCTGTAAAACCTTGGTTGAGACTGGATGAACCAATCATGTTTTCGGAATTGCTTCTCTGGAATGAATGGCCCTATACTTTTACTCTGGATAATTTGTTTTGTTTTATGTCTGGATTTTCCAGTCTAAATTATGAATGCCAGTTGTCTGGGGTGTTTTTGTGCTGGGTGGAAGCTCTGCTGCCTTTGGAATCTCAGACCCTGGGTGCCCAATGGGGAATCACTGCATACATACAAAAATATCTTTGTGTATGCAAATCTCATAGGAATGATAAGTGCTTTACCTGAGTGCATTCCATATTTTTTTCTAATTAAAAACATGTTGTAGGAAACATTTCAATTTTGTGTGAATGGAGTATAAAATTCCTTATGCTTGAGAAAAGCAAACAGGCTCTTTCAGTTGTTGCTTCCTAAGTTTTATTTTAGTTTACTCTTTAGTTTGTGAATTTTTGAACCATCTGACTTAAAACTGTGGGTGATTATTTTCCCCAAGTGCACAATGAGACCAAAGTGAGCTCACCTGGACTAGTAAAATAACATTTTGATGAGTATCAATTAATCATTAAATGTCCTTGAATTCCTAGTCAAGTCACTTTTAGTTCTTTCACTGTACAGCATGTTGAAAGAGACCAGGTAATAAACTGTGTGCGCAGTAATGAATCTTATTGTATGGTGCATCATGGTAAATGTGTGCGAAACATTGTGTGTTGTGTCTAGGGATACATACATAGGAATGTATTAAATGTAGATATTATATACAAGCTTAATTTTGGATCTGTTAAAGAACAGCAACTGAAGAGAAATTTGTTAAAAGCTGTTGATGTATGAGGTTTTTGGGAAGCTTTTCCCCCCCCCCCCACAAAGAAAGAGAGCTTGCCAGATGCTATAGTTAAAGTGTATTGTTTAAATTGTTCACATGTTATATTGTATGTTTTTTGAGCCTACCAGTTCATCCGAAATGTCGATTAGATGAGACTTCTGTCAAAGTCTTCATTTTTCAACAGTTTTTTACTGAGATGACCATTACTCAAAATTTAGTATCTCTGATTTTGTTAGCTGTTCCCCATTATGGATGTTAGGTGGGCTGTATGCAGTGCATACTCAAGCAATGTCTGTAATGAGTCTTTAGAAAAATATGTAAATGGTTTCATTTTCCCTTACCTTATTCAGACTAGTGGCCAAGGTCTGCTCTGTTACATCAGTAAATATGAAGTCAATAGTGTCATCCTGGATTTACACCAGTATAACTGAGTACAGAATCTAGTCCTCTGTATTTTTTTGTAAGATCCAACCTGTTTGTTGAAAACAATGAACCGTTTATTAGAGGTTCCAGCGACTCAACAGTCTGACCCATGTGTAATAAACACTTTACCCTGTTCCAGTTTTGATTGAATAGATAATATTAAAGCAGAAGTGTGTCCGTTTTCTATCAGTCCTGTATATCTATACAGGGGAGAAAACCTTACTGTCCACAGCAACATTGTGTTTTTTATCTTTATATTTATTGTCAACATCTTTTAGTAACAAATAGAAATGTATTTTATATGCTTTCTTTGCTGATCTTTTCCTTAGCCTTTGCAATTGGGTATTAGAAATTTAACTTTACTTCTGTAAGCTGGCTCTGTTAACTTGTGGAGGACATAGCAGTGAAAAAACAAAATGGAAAAGTAAAAGTAGGTCTAAAATGGGTAGCACTTTGTTACAGTATTATATACTGATACTGTCTCTTAAATATGAAGGATGAAGTCCTGGTCCCATTGAAGTCAATGGAGCTTACAGTGGTGCCAAGATTTCACCCTAAAAGTACTTCTGAGCATATATTATTCTATATGTATTTGATCTGTATTGTTTATCCTGGATGAAATTTATTATTTGAAATTGTGACACAATTTGAAGTGGTTTCTGATCATCATTACTAAATTAGACTGACAATTGACAACTGTAGTTTACAGTTACTTATTGTTGCCAGCAAATTGGTAGTATACTAAACTTTGTATATCTCAAAGTATATAGAAGTTCAGTTGCACTGAATAGTCTAAGCAGTTTGCTTTGGATGAATCTGTGTTATATACAAGTCTATGATTTAGTCACGGGTATTTTTAGTAAAAGTCATGGGCAATAAACAAAAAGTCATGGCCCGTAACCTGTCCATGACTTGTACTATAAATACCCATAACTAAATCTTAGGTGCTAGTGAGGGGAGCGCACTGGCGGATGCTGCTGCTGCTCCTTGGCGGCGGGGGGGGGGTACGACACTCTGGCAGATGCTGCTATTCCAGGGAGAGGTGGTAGCCCAGGGCACCACTGCTGCTCCTGGGGGGTGAGGGCGGCCCAGGGCCCTGGTGCTGCTCCTGGACTGCTGTTCTGGGGCAGCACCCAGGACCAGCTGCCTCGGGCTGCCTGACAGCAGCTGGTGTAGCTGCTCCCAGGACCACCCTGGGGTCAGCCACCCTGGCCGCTGCAGAAGTCATGGAGGTCCCAGAAAGTCACGGAATTTGTGACCTCTGTGAAAGACTCGCAGCCTTAGTTATATATGATATTCTAAATGTTTGTACAGGAGATCAGTGGTCCAACTAAATTACCAGCTAGTATTTTTTGTTTGGGGAAATCTGACTTCCTGATTGGTCACAAGTGAATAGTGTCTCATCCATTTTTCAACATCACAGAGTACTGTAGAGGTTGGCATGATGGGGCAGTGTGTTCTCAGAGCCCACCACTGAAAGAGCAGAGGTGTTACAGGCCAGGCAAGGAGTAGGCGCACTGGCAGAACTGGAGGTGCTTTCACAGTGTCTGTATTGTTGTCTCACTGTGGCCAATGATGTTTGTCCTTCACTTTTATTAGCATTCAGTTCATCCAGAATATTTTAAAAATGTGTTTTAAAAATTTCTAAAAATGCAAAAAAAGTCACTTCTTAATGAAGTGAAGTCTTGTCTATCTCAAGTTGATTTTATTGTCAGCTGTGCATTTTTAACTGTTTGCTATTCTATTTCGTAGCATTGTCAGTGAAGCGGGAGCATCTATCTATAGTGTTAGTCCAGAAGCTTCTAAAGAGATGCCAGACCTAGATCCTAACCTAAGAAGTGCAGGTACGTAATAGTTTTATTATTCATATAATTCAGTTGGTATTGTATGTAATATTCAGTACAGTAATAAAAAGAGGCCCATAAATACAAAGGGAAGGGATGGACTGAAGAAAGCGCTTTTACCTGTGACTTTGCATCTCTTTATTTTTGGTTGCTTGGTTTCTCAATCGTAAAGTTGGATTAACATTATTTGGTATGGAGTTTGGAATGTGTTTGAAATACTGGATATCTAACTATCCATCTGACCACACTGACTTCTATCTAGCCCTGTTAAGGCTCTGAGCTGACATGTCTCATGAATATGTTGGGTCTTGTGGACTTCTGGGGCTAAACAAGATCCAGAAAATTCCCTAACCTTTGCCTGAACAACAGGAAATTTGCACTCTTCTATGAACTAACCCTCATCTTTCTCACATCTCACACGCACATGTGCGTATATGTACATACATGTCTATAATTTTTATTTTGCCCAGAATGTGGTCACTTTTAGTGTGTTCTTCCAGTAACTGCACATGATCTTTAAAGCAGAAGTAGTTTGTTTTAGAGATGTAAAAATGCCTATCACAGTGTAAATGCCACTGTAGTGTGAGATAGGCCAGGTGCATAATGAGATCATTGGAGCCACCGGTGGTATTAAAATGTGTGTTGTTTGATTATGGGATACTCTGCCAGGGTATAACTTCCACTGATTGCGGTGGGGCCAGGATTTAACATACAGATTCCAGCTCTTCAGGGGACAGAGTTACAGGGACAGAATGAGGTTGTTTTTAGGGCTGTCAAGCGATTAAAAAAATTAATCACAATTAATCACTCTGTTAAACAATAATAGAATACAATTTATTTAAATATCTTTGGATGTTTTCTACATTTTCAAATATATTGATTTCAATTACAACACAATACAAAGTGTACAGTGCTCACTATTGTATTTTTGATTACAAGTATTTGCACTGTAAAAAAAACCCCAAAGAAATAGTATTTTTCAATTCACCTAATACAAGTACTGTAGTACAATCACTTTATCATGAAAGTTGAAGTTACAAATGTAGAATTATGTACAAAAAATAACTGCATTCAAAAAGAAAACAATGTAAATCTTTAGAGCCTACAAGTCCACTCAGACCTACTTCAGCCAATCACTCAGACAAACAAGTTTGTTTTCATTTGCAGGAGATAATGCTGCCTGCTTCTTGTTTACAGTGTCACCTGAAAGTGAGAACAGGCGTTTGCATGGCACTGTTGTAGCCGGCGTCGCAAGATATATACGTGCCAGATACACTAAAGATTCGTATGTCCCTTCATGCTTCAGCCACCATTCCAGAGGACATGCGTCCATGCTGTTGACGGGTTCTGCTCGATAATGATCCAAAGCAGAGCGAACCGACTCAAGTTCATTTTCATCATCATGAGTCCGATGCCACCAGCAGAAGGTGAATTTTCTTTTTGGTGGTTTGGGTTCTGTAGTTTCCGCATCGGAGAGTTGCTCTTAAGACTTCTGAAGAATGCTCCACACCTCGTTCCTCTCAGATTTGACAGGACTTAAGATTCTTAAACCTTGGGTTGAGAGCTGTAGCCATTTTTAGAAATCTCACATTGGTACTTTCCTTGCGTTTTGTCAGATCTGCTGTGAAAATGTTCTTAAAACGACCATGTGTTGGGTCGTCATCTGAGAATGCTATAACATCAAATATATAGCAGAATGCGGGTAAAACAGAGCAGGAGACATACAATTCTCCCCCAAAGAGAGTTCAGTCACAAATTTAATTAACACATTATTTTTGTAACAAGCATCATCAGCATTGAATCATGTCCTCTGGAATGGTGGCTGAAGCATGAAGGGGCATACAAATGTTTAGCATATCTAGCATGTAAATAATTTGCAACGCCGGCTACAAAACTGCCATGCGAATGCCTGTTCTCACTTTTAGGTGACATTATAAATAAGAAGCAGGCAGCATTATCTCCCATAAATGTAAACAAATTTGTTTGTCTGAGCGATTGGTTGAATAAGAAGTAGGACTGAGTGGACATGTAGGCTGTAAAGTTTTACATTGTTTTGTTTTTGAGTGCAGTTATGTAACAAAAAAGAAGCTATATTTGTCAGTTACACTTTCACGATAAAGAGATTGCACTACAGTACTTGTATGAGGTGAATTGAAAAATACAATTTCTTTTGTTTATCATTTTTATAGTGCAAATATTTGTAATAAAAATAATAATATAAAGTGAGCACTGTACACTTTGTATTCTGTGTTGTAATAGAAATCAATATATTTGAAAATGTAGAAAAACACCCAAAAATATTTAATAAATATCAATTGGTATTCTATTGTTTATCAGTGTGACTAATCACGATTCATTTTTTTGAGTTAATTGTGTGAGTTAACTGCGATTAATTGACATCCCTAGTTGTTTTGTATGACTTTATCTGTGTTTCCATTTTCATAATTTGTAAATTCTTCTAGTGCTTGCTCATCTTGATTCCATTCTAGGTGTGTGTGCGCCCACGTGCGCGGTCGTCAGAGATTTTTGCCTTTGTAGTGGTATCTGTAGGGTTGGCTGTGGTACCCCCTTGAGTACCGCACTCATGCATTGGTATATTAGGCGCCACCAGCCCTACACCCTCTGAGTTCTTTCTTAACACCCATGGTGGTTAGTTGGAGCACCTCCTCCCTGCCTACCAAGGGCTAGCGGTTTCATCTCTACTGTATTCGATCCTTAGGGCATTGTAAATAGTTTGTATATAGTAGTTAGTGTTTAAGTAGTTGTTAAGCAATGTAGTAAGAAGTTACAGTCCCAATGGACTCTGCCCCAGGTGGGGCATACCCCGGTCTCCAGGTTTTAAGCCCTGCTCTGACTGTAGCAGGCCTATGCCTGTTAGTGACCCCCATAGCAGCTGCCTAAAATGCTTGGGGGAATCGCATGTGAAGGACAAGGGTTGCATCTGTAAGACTTTGGATCCAGGACCCAGAAAGAGCGCAACATCCATCTGAGGGCCCTCCTCATGGAGGCTGCTCTCTGCCAGTCTTCCAAGCCTTTCCAGCCGGACTCTACCCCTAGCACTTTGGCCTCGATGCGTAGCACACCCCCAGCATTGGGCAAGAAAGAAGTCCAAGAAAGACAGCTTCCCGGCACCAAGCAAGAAAAGTCTCTGGGTATTGGGCAAATGATCCAGTTTGAGCCACCTGCCCACACCAAAGCCGCATGGGCGTGCCTCCCCAATGGGGGCCCCAGCTCCCCAAGGGAGCTGCCACCAATTCCCGGGAGCAGTAGGGGACCCAGGCTTGTGGCGAGGCCGATGACTTTCCAGGCTCTCCCAGCACCCAGAGGGCAGAGGCCTCTACCAGTGCCGCTGGCACCGTGTGTATCGCAGGAAGAGGCAAAGGCTTCCTACGAGGGCAAGCCAGCTGTCAAGCCCTCCCCAGTGGGCAAGTGAGTGCCGCCAATCCCCAGAGCCGAGACAATGCTCTCTGTCTCCATGCTGCAGATCTCCAGCTTTGCAACCCAGGTCCTCTGCAGGTCACCCTAGATCACCAGCACCGCGATTGTGGTCTCTGTCCTCTCAATGTGGATTGCCTAGGGGAAGGCGCTGGTCATTGTATTGCCGGCACCGTTTACCCTCCCACCGATTGTCTTCTCAGCGCAGACCCCTGTCCCCTGCACCATGGGAATGGTCTCTGTCACAGTACCGGTCCATCTGCCCCCAGCACCGATCCTCTTATTCAAAACGCCAGTCTCCAGTGGCGACGGTTAGCCACCAGATGCAGGCATCGACAGCCACACTGTGATCACCGGAAGGGGATTCCTCTGGCACGGAGAGGGAATTCAGCTCCTTGCTGAGGCATCACAGGTGTGATCGGGCACCCAAGGCTGCGTCAACCTCTGTGATGCCGTCTTGGCAACATGGCCAGTGGCCAGCACAGTGGCTGTACTGGGGCCTCCCCCGGTGGGGCCTCCCCTGGTCGGTCCAGTCGTCATCCTCATCCCCAGACGAGGCGGAGGTAGGGCCCTTGAGTGCCAGCCCGCTGGATGACTTCAAAGAGCACCAGGCCCTGCTTCGATGGGTGGCTGAGAACTTGGGCCTGGAGGTAGAGGAGATCGCCGAACAGGCGGACACCCTGTTCAGTATGCTCTCGGCATCTACCCCTGAGTGCATGATGGGGTCTTAAAAATAACTAAGCCCTCTGGCAAACCCCATCATTCATCCCTCCCCCCTCCAAGAGGGCTGAGAAAAAATACTTTGTCCCAGTCAAGGGGTTCAAGTACTTATATACCCACCTGCCTCCAGGCTTGCTGGTCGTCTCTGAAACCAATGAAAAGAACAAACAGGAGCACAGAATTTCAACCATCAAAAATAAAGAGGCCAAGAGGCTGGACCTTTTTGGGAGGAAGGTTTATTCAACTGCCAGCCTTCAGTTCTGGGTGGCGAACTGCCAGGCTCTGTTGTGCAGCTACAACTTCAACTTATGGGATTCCCTCCGTAAGTTCAAAGAGTTCCTGCCTCAGGACTTGGCCCAGGTGTTTAGTACCCGATTGAGGAGGATAGTGAGCAGTGAGGTGCTCCCTCCAAATGGCATGGGATGCGGCCATCTCGGCGGCATGGTGGGTGCACTGGCGGTGGTCGTGAAATGCAGCTCCTGGTTTCTCCTAGGAAATGCAGGCCTCAATTCAAGATCTCCTGTTTGATGGGAATGGTCTCTTTGCGGAGCAGACTGATGCAAGGCTGCATGACCTAAAGTACACTTGGGCCATCCTTTGCTTGCTGGGGCTGCATACGCTGCAATTGGCGAGGAAACAGTTCCAGCTGCCGCCAAGGCCTTGGCAGCCTCGACAGGGATCTGCAAGAAGAAGGGATACAGACACAAGCTTTCTTCCGGTTTTAAAAAATGTTTAGGAACAGCTTAGTTAAAGGTAGGCCATGTGGAGCTTATGAGAGGTGCAAGGATAGAACACTCTATGCCTCCCCAAGTGGATTCTTCCTCCTTCCTCCCCTCCTCTCCCCC